ACAGCTTTAACATATTCAGTAACACATTCCAGAGCAAGGATACATCTCTTTCTGAATGTAATTTTTTAGGGGGTTTTCCTTCTGAGGGAAAGACTTCTCCCTTTTTACTTAAGATTTAGTGTGGTAAAGGCCTATTTTTTTATGAGGAAGTAGAACAAGATATCTTCCAGGTAAACACTTCCAGATTCACATGGTTGGGTTTCAGGTGTCAAGTGTATTTGTGAAGGTGCATTGCATTTTGTTTGCAGGAGAAGAGATGACATATTACTGAAAGGGGTAGGATCCTATGGAAGGACTCTGTACTTGATGCCTCCTGCTGTGTCTTCCAGACAGGACTGTGTAGCTAGATAAAGTTGTTCTTAGCAGTCTGTGATGTATTGTGGGAAGGACTAGTTTTTAAATTCTTATATTTGTTAGTTATGGATTTAGACTGTGTTGTGTCAACAAAATAAATGTAGTATCAGCAAGATTGATGTTGACTTGAGCAAACCCTCAACTATTAAATGATACCAGTAATGAGGACTGTTAAAATGAAAGTGTAGATTGTAGAAACTGCCTGAGGAGAAACGAAATGAACTGAATGTGTGCCTGGGATTCTAAGCAGTTAGCATGCATTTAATAAAAATGGCATCAGTATTTGCAGGAAATATGCTGACAAATTGAAATGCCCTTTTTATTTTAGAAAATGTACATCTCCTCCACCCCCAAACACACAGAGTAAATGCTTGTTTTAATGAGAGAAAGGGAGAGCCAACAGCTCTATTAGGGTTTATCCTGCTATTTCTCTGACTCTTGCTTATCTTTAATTAAGCCTATAATTATTCTGAACTATCAGAGAAACTTGTAAATAAAATATTAAGATTTTTTTCCCAAGAACATTTGTGCTAATATATGATAGAAAAATTTCACTGGTCTATTAGGCCTCCGTAAGGTAAGGATTTGGCATTAATGTTAGTGTACAGTGCAGTGCAAATGTACAACCTCTACCAATGTGAGGTGCTCATTTTCCTTGAAGTGGTAAAATGGAGAATACATCTAACTTGAAATTACCCTGTGCTATGACTGAGCCGTTTTTAGACTACTGTCATTTATACAGCATTTCACATGCTTGACCTAGTTCTCTAGGGTGACAAAACCTCAAAAACTTTTCTTAGATCTAAGCTGTAAGATCAGGAAACAGAGAACTACCAAGCATTTCATAGGTATCTGGCTAGCAAAAGTATTCATTGTTTTGTGCTTGGCATACATAAGGCAGGTTGTAGATTTTCTGTGAGTTGTAGCATACATGCAACTCTTTCTCCCCTAGTCAGTTTTATTCAGAGTACAAGATAGTAAAAATGAGAGGTATAGAGAATTCACTGCACATGTGTTTTTATATTACAATTTTCTAATATTGCTAGTGAACTGTCCATGACAAGCCTTCCAGATGCAGCTACGAGAAAGGTTCTAGGGTAAAGACCAAGGTTCCTCTCCTGCATGAACAGATTATATCTGTGCAGCACCATATATAGTTTCTGAAGGGGGTTGGTAATGAGGCTTCACAACAGAAAACTGCTGGGAGCTAAGATTGCCTTTCTCCACTGCAGCCTGGTGTGCAGCCTGGTGTGCAGACAATGACGAGGTTCTCCTGACACTTTCTCAACCATACTAAACGACAATTCTTGATAAGCCCATGGGCATTCTGAACTTTGTTATTTTGGTCTCTTGGGATTGACCAGGTGATTTAAACTCTATCATATGTTGAAAAAGTAAATAAAAAGTAATGAAATCCAGATGATGCCTTAAAAAGGAAAAACAAAAACAAAAACCACTTACCTTCAAAGGGTCTCTCAGGTCAGGAGGTCTCAGTACTCTGGTCTACAAGTCTCTAGAGACTCACAGGACTCAGAAACTTGCTATACATACATGTAGAGTTAATTGTAAGGAAAGCATACAGAGTGAGATCAGTAAAAAGAATAGGCACATGGGGCAAGTCCTGTGGAAACTAAGCTTCTGAGCATCTCTTCCAGTGGCGTCACAGAGGTGTGCTTTGTAACACAGCAATGCCAAGCCATACCAAGCAAGAAGGATGCTGAAGCCTGCTTGTTCATGGCACTTACTGATGGTCAGTCATGTAGGCATGTACCAGTTTACCAGTCCCCAAGTGTTTAACTATAAATCACAGGCAGTCTGGACAAACTGGTATGCTGTGATCCAGAGATTCAGGTGTAAGAAAACACTCTTATCCTGCAAGTCTATTAAGCTTTCTCAAATGTTTTCTATTTCTCTTTTTACTTTAATTAGTTTTTCTAGCTAATAGCATTGAATTAAAATCAGAATTTTTATTATAGTTTCATAGAGTATGCTTTTTGTTACGATGTACATTCCTATTTAAGTAATAATGTTGAAGGAGTTTTCCTTAACTTTTTGCTCCCAGTCTTCGGAGTTTTCCTTAACTTTTTGCTCCCAGTCTTCTGTTGATTTTTTTTTTCTGGTCTTATTTTAACTTCTATTAGTTAATTCTTTTTATTCTTAACATAGCTTCTTTGATTTTTTAAAAAAATTGTCATGTTTTTAAAATGTGAGTAGTCAAAAATCATAGGTGTTAATTGAATGAAAGAAAGGTCATTTTCAAAGAAGTAACGATCTACAGGAAATTGCAAATAAATATCTATGGCATTTCCAGGAACTCATCATTCAACTTTTCATGATGATAACATTTTATATAATTATTATTGTTGTACAGTGTGAAGATCAGAAAGTTAGCTTTGGTGCAAGCCACAGAACTTACATTTTACTAATTCTACCTGCACATATTTGTTTGTACATGTCATTCATTTGTATGTTTCATTCATTTATAATTTTTTTTTACTTCAAGATTGTTATAGAATTAAATATGCCTAACATTTAGGGGACTGGGTTTGTAACTCAGTATGTAATTTACATCATCTTTAAGATCATCCAACCATTGTTCACTCTTTTTATTGCTCTTTTTTAGTCCATGGGATGATGGTACCACAGTTTGTTTAATCATTTACCTTGTGAAGGACACCCTGTGGGTCACATGACTGTTTAACTATTTTCCAGTGTTCATTGAGCAACAAGTCAGATTGTAATCATTTCTATTTCAACTACAAATTTGATTAAAGAAATTCATTGCAGTGAAAGATGGTATTTTATGCCCACCTTGATTTCTGTCATCTTGTCCTTTGCTTTCGGAATGTTCCGACCTTCTGATGTTATTTTCTGTTTTAAAAGCTTCTTTTACACATTAATTATGGGTAAATCTAGCAGCAATGAATCTCATAATTTTCCTTTCTCAGAGAGTGTCTTTATGTTGTCTTCATTCCTGAAGAGTAGTTATTTTTTTATTTTGTTTAGTTTGTTTTGTTTTTAATATAGGATTACTGGTTGAGAGGTTTTTTTCCCCCAGCATATTGCCTGTGTCCTTTATAGTTCCACTATAGGTGTGTGCCCTTTCTTTTAATGCCAACTTGGTGGAGATCCAAGAGATAATAGGCCAAGCTGATAGGTGAATCCACCCATTTTTTGGCTCT